TGCCCTTTTTCTTTTTACTAGAGGCAGGGTTCACAGCATATAAGCCATATTCATCACAGGCTAGTCCATAATATGGGGGTGAAACCCCTCTGTAGTCCTGGTCTCCCTATCCAGTGATAGACTCTGATAGTGCTGTCGGATGGGTTGGGGGAACCAGGGCCCACCTACTACTCCAGGTTGCTGCCCCGGAACACTAAGAAGGCAGAAAACAAGTGGGGTTTGTTTTATGCCATGTTTGACAACTACTTCCCTAGGCCATTTCCCCAAATGATCCATCCCAATACCTTTCCCCGTTAGATGTTTGACAACTACTTCCCTAGGCCATTTCCCCAAATGATCCATCCCAATACTTTTCCCCGTTAGCTGATCCTCCAACATACTCTTCCTGCCTTGCAGCTCCCACCCAAACTCCTCTCACTTTGGCTGGGCAGGCTTGTTTGCCACCTAACTAACAGCAGAGGAGCCCTTTTAAACTAGTCTCACCTGGTTCCTGATTTACCCCAGGTGGTCTAATTGACTCCCTTTTCTTTGGAAGGCTCCTAATTAATTCCAGGTGTTCTGACTGGTCTGATTGTCCAGACTGCTTCTGGAAAGTTCCTGCTGGTTCTAGGCCAGCCCCTACCAGTTTTTACCCAGGGAACAGAGACCTACTTAGTCTAAGGCTCACATACTTTCCTTTGAGCCCTCTTCTGTAATCCTCTGACCTGATCCTAACACAGCTGGTATAAACCATTGTATCCCAAGGTTGGATTTGATACCCTGAGCTTGTTTTATATTATATGGACAATTACATTTGCCATAGTGATGATGCATATTTTCTATGCACAAAATATGGGAACAGTTAACAAAAATCTGATGAAAAAATACATCTGGATCTGATTTTCAAACGATATAACTGATTTAGTTGCTGCAGATATTGATCTCTAACTATAATAATCAACAGTGTGGAATATGTTCATTGTTGATGTGATGAGGTTGCAATTTTATTCTTATATAGACAATGATTGTTCATTAAATAATGCTTTTAGCATTTCTGAATTTGTGCATGTTGGGGATATATCACAAATATTTATATGTTGCATAAGTGTCTGATATTAGAAGTGTCAAGAATAGAGGCACAAGTTTTGGATCCTTTATACTGTACAACTTATAAAATGAGCCATTTGCTTTGTTACTGAAGTCCAAATTACATCATTTCTGTCTTTATACAATTAGTTCATAAGAATATTTGTATAGCAAAGAGGGATTGGAATTGATTTATGTTGGGTCTTTAGGCTTTTGCCTATTATTAAATTTACCCTTACCTTTTCATATTGTATCCTTGAAAAAAGAGAGAATTATTTACAAGCAAATATAAAAGCAATCTTTTAAGGTTTGTGTCTTTAACTACTCCGTGACAATTCCAGTTTTCCTGGGGACCGGCAATTCAAACGGACCTGAGGCTCCCAGCCACCACTGCTGCTGTAGTAACAGTGGTGGCGGCTGGAGTACCAGACCTTTTCTGAGAGGGCCCTGCCACACTCTGTGTAGCATAGAAGGCTAGCTACCCTAGCCCCTCCCCTTCCATCTGAGGTCAGGTCTCTTTCAGGAGCACAAAGATGCCCCACTCCCACATAAACATCTTGCCCAGGTCCCATGGAGGCCATCAGCTCCCCGGTAGTTGTTGTTAATAATAGTTTTTTTCTTTCAATGAATTACTCACCATTTAGCTTAATTATGGAAAAATCTGTTTTTACCACAGCAGGGTGTGAAGATACCTATGGTAGGGTTGCCAGATGATTTAACAAAAAATACCAACTCCCCCCTTCCCATCCCCCCAAAAAACGGGAAAAAATTCTGTTGAGCAACAAAAAGAAAAGGGGGAGAGGAGACCAATTTTGTTGCCTTTAAATGGCCCCGTGCTCCTCACTCCCGTACCCCTGCCAGACATGTCAGGGAAAAATTGTCCCCGCTGGGCTTCCGTCCAAGGGAAACAGGAAATATTTTCTGTTTTTTTTTTTTTACTGGACAGGGGAACCGAATACCAAACAGTCTGGGCAAAAACCGGACATCTGGCATACCTATGTGAATGTCAGACCATTTGATATATTTCATTTAACATTTGATTGTTTCATTAGACTTTCCTCTCAGCAGGATTTTTTCCTCAAGGGAGAAGTAGTTGTGGGTGGAAGTAACGTACTGCAGCATTGCTATTGAATACAGGAGCAGATAGTTGAGTGGAATGTGTTGGGGAAAAATATTTTATTGAAATTTGGATCTGTTGTTAGCAATTGAAGGAACGAGAAACTGTTAGGAGTAGGTGACTGAGTTTGGAACTCTGGCCAGAGGAATGCAATGAGGAAAAAGAACACAGTGAGTGCTTTCTGGCCAGGATTGTGATTCCCCCCCCTCTTTTTGAAAAGTCACTCTGACAAATTTCCTTAGCAATCAGTTTAGGGGCAGTGAGCCATCTGCTTTTTTCAGTTAAAGAAGGCCTCAGTCAGTTAAAATAGTAAGAGCTCCATTGAAGTCCATGGCCCTAACTTCACAAAGAAAATGACATGAAAATGTTGCAGGTCCTGAAGAACATAAGAACGGCCACACTGGGTCAGAACAAAAGTCCATCTAGCCTAGTATCCTGTCTTCCAACAGTGGCCAATGCCAGATGCCCCAGAAGGAATGAACAGAACAGGTAATCAAGTAATCCCTCTCCCGTCACCTAATCCCCCTCCCGTCACCTATACCCAGCCTTTGTTTTAAACCTGCTATATATTAATTTCATTTTGTGACCCCCCAGTTCTTATATTGTGGGAATAAATAAATAACTTCCTTATTCACTTTTTCCACACTAGTCATGATTTTATAGACAACTCTTAATTCCCAGGTGGGATTAATCATGTGTAAAGTCAAACTTGTTTGTAGAGGTTTGCAGGATTGGCCCTTTTGCTTTGTAAAATAAAAGTTTATAGTCCAAGTACTATTGACATATTTCTAGTTGATACATTAATAATTCACAAATATGTATGTATGTAAATTATTTAAAAAAATATTTTTAAACATTTAAGCACTAATGAAAGCTTAGGTCTCTTAAGTACATACTAGCTGCACTTAGAACAATCATGCTTTAAAAAATATTGGACTGAAATATTGAAAAAGCATCTGGGAAATGGTAGAAATCATTTAGTAAATCAGTTCTTCAAAAATGTTCTTAATTTTTTTCTCACTTGTTTACCTCATGGAATATTTTATGAAATATTAACATCTATATTTCAGAATAGTACCATGTGAATAACTGAAGTTTTGGTTCAACATGATTTGAAAGAGCCAGCTAGTATACAGTGTATTCAATTTATAATGGAAATGTTTGTACAACCTTAACAGTAGCTATGGTACTGTGCATTGCCATATTATTTTATATTATATGGTTTAATTTAGTGCTGTATAAATGTATCTTTCCTTGTCAATGTGTTGCTCATCATTTTACAAATTATAAATCTGTAATGTTAAGGTAATTCATGTCTTGGACATGGTATTAAAATGATAGAGTGATTCCCATTTTGCACAATCATTGATCTTTCTGTCTTTTGCATTTGGTAGTATTAATTACGTTTATTGGCTGAGTGTTGCCATAAAGAATGTTGAATGTGTCTATGTGGTTACTTTCATCTTCAATTAAACTACTTTTTTTGCCTGCTGCCTCTATTCATTGCATCACAACAGTGTATAACTGATTCTAATTGGAATTCAAGTTAATAAATTCTAGATAATATCAATACTGCAGATACACAGTGTTTTATCATTCTTTAATCTAATCTAAAACATCCACGATGGAAGGAAAAGGAATGTACCTATGTTAACTTTTTGACCTGTTTGTGTTCTGGAAATGTTCAGCTTCTACAAATAGTTTTTTCAAAGGCTTTATTTTGTAGACTAGACTCATTGCAAAATTCATACCACGCTTTACCTTACTTGAATTTAATAAGAAGAACATGTGATTATTCATGTGCATAACTGTTATACATAGGTATTGCCATGAAACCAATACAAAATAAGATCTCTCCAGAAAAACAGATTAGTATTACATTGTTTAATCTGATATATTTTGCTTTCTCTTATAGACATTAATTATTGTGAACACAATTAACACCTGAATGTTACATCTGAGTTTCTCAAAGCTGTCTTCAAGCTCAGTCTTTGAATCTCTCAATTATAATCAGAATTTAGCATTTGAGAAAGAGCCTGGTCTGGTGCTCTGAGCAAAGCATTTTGCACTGTGGTTTAGGAAATACTAAATTCTAATCCTTATTCTAAAATTGACTCCATCAGTGGCTGTAGACCAATCATTTAAATACCCTGCCTGTTTCCCAACCTGGTGCAATACTAATGATAGCCATTGTTATTAATTTTTATTATTTAATTGTTTAGTAATTCAATGAAAAAGGCTCCCATTGGCATTATCAATGGTGAGATCCTGTGTGTGGGTTACAGAAGAGTCCCTGTTTAGCTGCTATCACAATTAGTTGTGAGTCCTTCCTGCTTGTGTCTTTTTATCCTTAAATATCTAACTTTATCTGTTTCCAGAAGGGGTACATACCACAGTTTTTTGGGTTATTTGGCCTGGCTTACAATTATTAAATTGGTCTCAGAGGAGTAGCAATGTTAGTCTGTAACTTTAAAAACAACGAGCTTCCGCCTCTTCTGAAGAAGTGGGTTTTGCCCACAAAAGTTCAATACTATATATATTTTTGTTAGTCTCTAAGGTACCTCAGGACTACTCACTATTTTTAGTTAGTCTCTAAGGTACCTCAGGACTACTCACTGTTTTTAATTATTAAATTATTCATTTTTTTCAGATATAGCATCTACATGCCTTTTTGGTGCTGAGTAATCAATAAACTATGATGCATTCCAAAATAAAAATTGAGTAATTTAGCATAATTTTAAAAGTTGCAGTAAAGCCAGCAAAATCTTACCAAGAGAAGAATATGGTATATATAATATCTTGGTACACTGTTTTTCAGGTGGGAGTGAATCCTCCTGGGATAAAGAGAAACTTCAATCTCCTATTACCACAGGATCACAGCATGGTGTTGGTCATGCCACATTATCAGGGCAATCCAGTCTCGGAAGTGCACATCCCCTCAGTCCTCTCCAGCAAAATCACCTGCTCGCCAACAGTGCGTATGCTGTCCTTATATATAGTCAGAAGACACTAAGATGCAGACACCATCAGTCTTATATATATAATTTGTTTATAAAGAAGGAAAGATATAGAGAAGTTGGTAGCTAGTAAATAGCATTTAATAACATAATATGCTTGAAGAATTTTGTAATAGACGCATGTGCAGTAGAAGAACTGAGTCCTGAGGCTATTGTTATAGACACAAAAGCAGTAATATACACACAGAGAGTGTAAGTAAATGCAGAAGCTGCATCTTTATTAAACTATTAACAATGAGAAATCCTTCCCCAAATTAACTGTCAAGGCCTTGCCATTGCAGAATAGTCCTTTCTAGAAACCTGAGGATGTTGGATATGAGGGCAGTGCCTAAGTTGTATCATACTTGCAACAGATGTAATGTAATTCCCTAAAACAGAGCTCTGGGTTCCTGGTTGGAAAGTGAAAAATTCTCACACTCCTTTGCAATTTTGCCAAAAGGGAAAATATTTTCTGGACACCCAATATAATTTTGGTAATAAGCACAGTGAACAGTACCATAAGAGATCCAGCATATCTCACAAAGGCTGTGTCCAGACTCAAGGGTTTTTTCGAAAAAAGTAGCCTTTTTTCGAAAAAACTTCACCTGCTTCTAGACTACAGCTGCGTTTTTTCGAAATTAAATCGAAAGAACGTGGCTTTTCTTTCGATGGCGGAAAACCTCCTTTCATGAGGAAGAACGCCTTTTTTCGAAAGTGCTCTTTCGAAAAAAGGTGTTCTTGAATGCAAACAGGGCTTTTTCAAAAGAGAGCATCCAGACTGCCTGGGTGCTTTCTTTCGAAAAAGTGGCTTGCTTTTTTGAAAGTACTGCTTGCAGTCTAGACGCTCTTTTTCGAAAGAGGCTTTTTCGAAAGTATCTTTCGAAAACGCCTCTTTTGAAAGAGGCTTGCAGTCTAGACGTAGCCAAAGAGAGTGGAAAGAAACAAAGCTAAATTGCAGCAAGCCAAAAGTGGGTAGAAACAACTTCTTCCCTTCTACCTTTTCAGGAGGGAGTCAGTCTGTTA